ACAGAAAAGACTATGTCTGTTGTAAGTGAATGCCTTCATCAGTGATGGGTTATTTCCCTCCTGGTCAAAGTCAAACAGCCATTCACACAGAAGCATCTCTCTGTCACAATTTGAGGGCGTCTTGTCCTCTCCTTCAGCGGCTGACACAATTCGCTTATTACGCTATTTACGATCATGTCCACCACGAGCTCAATAGCAGTGTGTCTCTCCGACCATGGGGAACCGAAGCCTTTATTTCATATGAGTATTTATTATAGATAATGAATATACATACATTTCTGCCATTTGTTTCATGGGCACAAAAAGATGCAAGTTTAAGATTGATTAAAAACGTTCCAGATCAATTTAAAATCGATACAACCTAGGTCAAGACTTTTAATTATCCTGAAACCTTTGTCAGCACACTTTATTAGGATATCTTCTTTACTGGCTGTGTCAATAATGGATTTGATTTGATTCCCAGGACGTTTTCAGTGCAACTCGGCGATTTCTGGAACACACTACTCCGATTAGACGCGTCCTTTTCACCGTCAACTTTGACTGTTGGACACAAACCAAAAGTTGGCACGGAGACCCAGAAAAATATATCGACGTTTCCTTTCACGATCAATAAGAAGTTCCATATGACTGTGACGTTGTCCAATAAACAGTTTAAGGTAACGTTTTATGGCATTGTGGAATAACTAGCCACTGGGTGTTATACATAAACGAAGTTTAAGCTAAGTCGGTAGGTATTGTCTTACGCCGCTTATAGCAATATCCATTAATATCACAGTGGTGTACACCATAAATGGGCTTCACACCTCGTATCCTTGTATGATATCGAACCGGATCTTAGGCTTAGAGAGCGATCGCTTTAACCACTGCCCTACACCTCTGTATGTCAAATCGGCACAAATATTCGTAGCTATGTCGATAGTCAATATGTCGTTAAACACTCTCACACACGCAAGACCCCATTAAGACAAAATAGATATAATATTATATTTAACAGACTAGGTGGTTGTCTTAAACTACAAATAGTACTTCGTCAACTGCTTACCCGTGGTTTTCACCAAGGCGGTAGCGATTTTAACAGCACCTCTGGCTTTCGTCCTACACGAGGTGATATCAGTGTGAATACACAATGCTGATATCACTGGTTAAAATGTCGTAAAACCATGAAACTGATGGGGGCGGTGGGGTAGTCTAGTGGTTAAAGCGTTCTCTCGTCACGCCGAAGATCCGGGTTCGATTCCCAACGTGTGTAAAATGTATTAAGCCAATTTATGGTGTCCCCCGCAGTGATATTTCTGGAATGTTCCTGAATGCGACGTAAAACTAAAATCACTCACTCACTCATGAAACTGATTCCTTTGTACACATCAACAGTTGATGTCACTTATTTCTGCAGATCAGTGTAGACGGTATTGAAGTTGCTTCCTACAACGACACCCTTGACTACAGGCAGGTCGCCTACGCCATTATTCAAGCAGAACACGCCGAAGTTGTTCGCATCTTTACACCTGGTCAGTTGGAGTCTCACCTTCATCTTACCTATTGAAGCAAATATGTTCTTGACAAATATGTTCATCACATAACATATTTGACCGCCTCCGTGGTGTAGTGGTTAGAGCGTCCGCCCGGAGTGTGGAAGGTCGCGGGTTCGATCCCCGACCGCGTCATACCAAAAGACGTTAAACTTTGGTACTTGTTGGTCCCTGTCTGGCGCTCGGCATTAATGGGTACAGCAAGGACTGGTCGGCTCGGAGTCAGTATAATGTGTCTGAGTGGGGTAGTCATGCTTCACTGCGGCATGGTATCTCAGTGGGCTGGCACTATAAAACCAGCTTACGTCTGGGCTAGTACAAGCAGCCGCACATACACATACACACGCATGCACGTCGTCATATGAGCGAAAAAATTCTCAAGCACGACGTTAAACCCAATTCCACCACCACCACATAACATATTTTGACGATTAACATTGGTTCGGGAGAGATGTATGTGTGCCATGTTTAAATATTTCAGTTCCTGGGTTAAAGCCATGTCTCTAGAATATTATGAACTCTAATTGTATATAATGCAATTATATTTTATCGTGAAATTCGAGCCCACTAAGATGCTGAAACAAATTAAATGGATTTTTAAATATTTTCTTGCAGTGTGTTTTGGTTACTTTGGGTTTGTTTTGGTTACTTTGGGTTTGTTATTATCTATTGACATATAGTTAAATTATACCGACAAAACAATTATTTGATTGAATAATTACCACAACATCACTTCGCTTCTAGAGAATGGCTACAAGGACTGCTCGTCGGCCAGTGTACGGAATGGTAGTGTTCAGAGCTCAGAGACATCGGTTGGTGCTGAAGGGACGGTCACGTGTCACTCTGGATACAGTTTCTGCGGGACTTCAAATAGTGTCACGTGTTGGAGCGACGGCACGTGGAGGTTTAACGAACCGTTGCATGAAGCCTGTCAGAGTAATACCTGGACTGACGTGGCCGAGCTGACACAGGTGACTCGAAGCAAATGTATATATGATGTATATATGGTCACTATCCGAATAGAAGTTGGTATGTCATTAAAGTCGTACAGAGATACCGTGTGAAGGGGTTTATTCTGTCACAACGCAGGATCCGTGTTCCAGTTTGAAAATTCTATAGAAGTACATTTGGGGTAACGTTTCGTGAAGGCTGCCAAAAATAGCCATTAACTTCTGTGGACTTGATGCACAGGAAAACTCATTTAATATCAAGGCTCCAATACCATACCTCTCAGTATAGAGGGAGCCTGTGCGTGCGTGCGTGCGCGCGCATGTGTGTTCGTGTTCGTGTTCTGGCAGATACAGTACATTGATTCCAGACCCTGACAATCCTTAGGGGCCAGCCATGGTAACAACAAGTACCATCTTTTAACGTCTTTTCTTATGACACGACTGGGGATCGAACTTCCATGGAGGGGTAGACACTTTACCCACTACACCATGCAGTCTTTTTCTGAGTAAAAGTCTGACAGCACCTCCATGGTGGTAATAGTACACAGTCGACTCTCATCAGTTACCATGTGTGCACACGAGCAAGCAAGTACTGTTATTAGGCCCAACAAAGGTAACTGACTGGTTGTTGGATTCATTTCCAGGATGCTGATTTCGGAGTGCCCTGTGAGTTGACGTCTACGACCGTCATCAAACTGCAAGCTGCAATGAACTCCGCCAGCCAAGCGTATGTATGCTTTAGTGTTGGCGCCTCAGACTCACTTCATTGAGGTCAGCTGTATCCGGGGCGGTGGGGTAGTCTAGTGGTTAAAGCGTTGGCTCGTCACGCCGAAGACCCGGGTTCGAATCCCCACTTGGGTACAATGAGTGAAGCCCATTTCTGGTGTCCCCCGCCGTGATATTCCTGTAATATTGCTAAAAGCGGCGTAAAACCAAACGCAGTCAGTCAGTCAGTCAACTCTGTATCCAGTACCGAGGGTATTATTTCGTTTTCATATGAATGCAAAACTATGGGTCCAAGGATCAGTCCAAGGATGCGTGTTCTGTTTCTTTGTTTCCATGGTCACGACGTCTTGACAACGCATGCACTATTTTTTCCAAAGTTGTGCCCTTTTTGTCCAAAAATAAGTTCATGTTGTTCCCACATTCATATATATTCCATGTTTTGTCTTTTCATTATGCACCCACTAATTTCGTTCTCTTTTAATGCCTCTTTTCATGCACGCATTAGTTTATTTCATTGTCATGAACTTTGTATTATTCATGCATTTATTTACTCCGACTGTTGCGAGATATGTATCATGCTTGCTTTCATTTGCTCCGACATTTTGACGATTTTGTCATGCGATCTTAACCGATTTTTCGGGTGGGCCCACTTTTTAAAATTAGACTGGGTAAATATTCTCCTTGCCTTTCAAGAATTACAATTGAAATGAGAAAATACGAAACATGCGTAAAGATTTTTTATTCATTCTAAATCAAACCAAAAGACGCATCATATTACTTTACCCAAACATGTGTAAGGCCCAGAGCAACTGTCATCTCTTTATCGTGCATGCATTCATTCCAGTGTTGGTCCCTCTTTATCTTGCATGCATTCATTCCAGTGTTGGTCCCTCTTTATCTTGCATGCATTCATTTATTCTTTTTTATACCTTTTTTCATCATAAAGTCTTTTTTACCCACTCTCTCACCCAAGTCAGTGCACAACACCCCTGTGTTGAAGGACCTCCACTGGTTGCCCATTCCACAGCGCATCACTTTTAAACTCCGCAACTTGCCTTCAGATGTCTCTATGAAAGTGCACCTCAATATCTGTCCGACCTATGGCTCCGAATTTTGAGGCGAGAAAGCGATGGCCCTAATCAGCCACCATACCGACCCCCTTTCTCCATACAAACCAACAAGATCCCTCCGCTCCGAGAAACATAATCTTTTATGTATTCCTAAAGTCACAACAGTTAAATTTGGTCAAAGAACTTTCTCTTATGCAGCAGCCTCAGAATGGAATCATCTCCCACAACATTTGAGAGAAATGACAGAACTTTCAACCTTTCGAACATTGCTAAAGACCCACCTTTTCCAAAAAGCCTTTTCGTCCTGACATCAGCGCTCTGAGCATTCATTGTGCATGGTCATATGCGCTTTATAAATGAACTATTATTATTATTATTATTATTTTATCGTACATGTATTCATAACTTCTAGTGTAATGCACGCAGATCTCTATAATATGCATGTATTTATTTATTGTTGTTTTATGTCTATATTATGTAGGCTTATTCCAATGTTGTGCATTTTACGTTCGATGAGATCATTTTCTGCAATGCTGTTCATTTTCATGTTGCATTCATATAACCAAGTATTGTAACTTTTTAGCATGCTTTTACACGTGTATTCGTCTATTCCAGTGTTATGACTTTTTATCATGCATGTTTTCATACATCCAGTCTTTTACCTTGTTTATGCCTGTATTCCTCTAAATTAATAGTATAGCTTCTTTTAACATCAAGGTTTCAGATGCAATTGGTAGCTGACAAGGAAATCGTGCTGCGTATCAGGTACATTAGGCCGTCCGACAGTTTGACCGCTAGTGCATTGCTGGGACGGAAGAGTGTACAATCTGAGGCTATACAGCACCACGGCTTCATCCCCGCAAACATCGACCTGACCATCATCGTGACTCCAACGGCTTTCAATGTAATGTGAATGTATCTTTGAGAATCGTCTTTCGATAATTATAATTATGGATATTATATAATTAGATAATATGTAAATAGATGTATATATACGTACTAGGTAATATAAACTAACTAAAGTTAAGTGACTGCAGTTGTAATGGGATATACTTCATGAACAACCTCCGTATATCATGTGAGATATATCACAGGGGCGTGTCTCGCTTAAAGACATATAGGTGTATAGACCCAAACCTATTACTATATGAAAGGAAAGGGATGTAACGACGAAACCACCTTCTCCTCAATCAAAGTTAGATTTCACCACGTAAAATATTTTAAGGCCCCGCCGAGGCCTAGGAATCAAAAGCAAGATGATTTCCCTACAAAATGAGCTATAAATGGTCACAATCGGATCATTATTTCAAAAGTTATACGCCACAACTCACCGAAAACAGCTACCTCCACAATTCAAAGCCAAAAGCTTGGATCAGCCAAGGGTGGTTTCGTCGTTACATACATTTCCTTTTATATAGTAATAGGGTTGGTTCTATACACCTATATGTCTTTCTAACGCTGTTTCTAAGCGAGACACGCCCCTGTGAGATATATAGCACAGAAGAAACAAGATATAGGAACACATCACATTTAGAACCTCATCGGCATACGAATTTGCATATGTATGTTTTCGTCACGTTTAAATTCATGACATGTTAACACCTTAAACATACCTACTGGTGCTCAAGTGTTGCTAATACTGGTTTCTTGGATTTGTAATATGGGCTGGTGGCCTAATTACGGAAATGAACTGAACTGAATATATGTTTTCATCACTAAAGTCCGTTTCTTTGACTTAGTGCCGAATGAAAGGCAGTTTATTTAAACATGTTTAAATCCTACACAATGTACTGATGAACATGTCATAAACATGTTCTAAATAACAATTCTAAAGGGATTTACTTGTTTAAGTATTTTAAAATAATAAAATGTTAAACATGTTACGATTATTGAGATATGTTTAAGGCTGTGATTCAATAGCTCTTTTCAAGCCTTTCATTAAACAAACTGTACATTCTATTACAGATTTCTCTCAGTGGGGGAGCGACTTTCACGTATCCATATGAATCCTCCCTAAGGAACGTGAAGCTCATCAATGTATCTTCAGGCACCAAGATAGGGTCTCTGACCGTCCTTAATAAAGAGTAATAATCACCCTGGTGTGTAAAGCCTCATGCAAATGAAGTGGTTCAGTGGGTAAAGCGTTCGCTAGTCAAGTCTAAAGACGGTTTAGATTCTCAACAGTAATATTTGCTGTTCTCAAAGGTGTACGCCACCATTTTACTAGCAGCGGCGTCAAACTACACTCATTCACTGTATATTTAACTGTACTCATTCACCAAAGTTGTTCATATTCCTGACCATCGACTTACATGGTACCAAGGGACAGAAGGTGTACTGAGTATTTTATTCTTCTTTTTGTAAACTGAAAAATGTTGCCTAATTTGATTTTGTCTGTTTTACTGTCACTCATCACTCCAACAGCTTGTTTATCCGTGCCAGTGTAATTTTGTGTAAAACTAATTTGGTTCAGTGAGGACGAGGGTAATAATATTTATGTATTCGAACCTCGTGAGGCCTCCTGTGATTTGCAATGGTGGAAATTTGTCTCGAAAAATGCAAATATGTACTTTTACAAAGTTAAGCTATCTGAGGTACGTTCCTCAGTCTATTGATAAGGGTACTGTTTGGTGCCACGAACCCAAGGTCGCTGTATAAGAGTCATGCAATCCGCACTTAATAAAGATGTATGTTGTTTTCAAAATGCGTGTTTGTAATATTTCATCACGTATGGACAGGGAGCTCTGAGACAAGATGTGTTTTGTCCACCAGCAGATAAAACAATTAAAAGGACAACCCAAAATGGTTTGAAGTGATGTATTTTTGGACAGAGAGTTTCCTCTATTTTCAGATTTCTAAAGCATTCTTGATATTTTTCCAGAATTGTCTGGGACAAATTCCAGGCCCCCCATCTGGACCTCAAAGCGCACGGTCTATAAGTGAAGTGAATGCACACACAAGCCGAGGCTATTTCTACAGACAAAGAAATCATTTCTCCCTCTTGAAGCTGCACGACCGGGGCAGCTCTGTTGGGCTTATAGAAATACCCTACCGGGCAAAGAAAGTTAATACTTGAAAATTAGTACTTCTCTCTGTTATCGTGAAACTGCGACGCCCTTTTCCCTGGAAACGTCACATCACTTGTTGTGCGATGCATATAGAATGCATGTGATATCGATAATACCCCAACAAAAAATTCAACACCGAATGACCACTCCTTGTTTGTATAATGTTCTGCTTCCATCAAAATTTGTGTAGACTTTCTTTTTACCAACAGCATAGTACAATTGTATTCATAAACACACACGATGTAAACGATAGTTATTTGTTTATTTCTATACCAATACTGTTTTATTCATACATAATACATGGATATTTATTAGCATACAGACGCATCGTCACGACGGTTCATTTATACGAATGTTTAACATGCAGTTTCTTCACACGGAAAATAAATAATGCCAGTTCTGTAGATTGTTTATTACACGTCAACGGACATGTGTGTAAGTGAGTGAGTTATATGGGTTCAAACCGCGTTGAACAGTATTTCAGTTACGGCACGGTGTGCAAGATAAATGAGGAGAAACTCAAATGATGCACGTCGTTGACTCACACTCTGATGAAACTCAAGGTCACAGGACATATTCCTTAAATACGAAGGGTCATAATCAGAGCCAGTAACGGTACCGGATCCTGTATCGTCTGAGCCAGTCACGGTACCGGATCCTGTATCGTCTGAGCCAGTCATGGTACCGGATCCTGAATCGTCTCAACAGCTCGGTGGTGCCACTGTAGATGTCGCTGTTTTCTATTTTATGCACCTTCATATACAATCTAGTATATCATAAATTAGCGTTATGGTTCTTTTTGTGAATATAATCACAAATAAAATGATAGATATGGGTAAAGGTTTCAGTAATTGCTACGGTGTAATGAAGTATCACCCTCCCATTTCCCCCACTACACATTTTAAATGAAATATCGAGATGGTTCAGTGATATAACATGAGCATTTTCTCTTAGGAAAATATCATTTTATAACACGTCATTATAACGTCAATGTAATTATTATGACGTCACAGTGATCTCACTAACCCATGTGGTGACGAAAGCTTTAATGTTATTTAGCAGTGATTCAAAACGCTTTAAAGAGGGACTGTCCAATTCTCATTCAAGGTCTAGACAGTAGATAGTGCGACCAATTTCAAATATGAAAGACTGTGCTCCACATATCCTCTGACACTTTCCATTCCAGGTCTAGACAATAGATAGTGCGACGAGTTCCAATATGTTCTCTGAGAATTCCCTGTCAAGGTCCAGACAGCAGTTAGTGCGAACTGTGTCAATATGAGAACCTGTGCTCCACAGTTCCTCTGACAATTTCTAATCGACCAGACCGTCTTGATCCGTCAATCTGTCAACTGGATCGACTTGTGAGGGTTCTAATACGACTGAGTACACTCGACCTTTAAACGTTACATGGTTCACACTAAAACAACACTAAAACACTGATCTTGTGAACGCTATCGTACGGTACCGTTATATGAACCGTTATAACACCACTACAAGCTACGCTAGGCATAAGAAATGAATTCTTGCCATAAATCACTATAACCTGTTTGATATTCCTTCTTCCTGCCAATATAACCTACGTCCGATGTTTCTACAGTTTCGTCACACACTAGCTTCTCAATCCAACAAGCACAAACACGCATTCTGGTGCACGGAGTGTAAGAGGTATTCCATGCGTCATTAAAGCTATTGCCAGTACGACATCCCCTTTAAGGAATGATACAAATAAATATATGAAGAATTTCTTTTTTACAAAGGAAGCGAAATTTCGGCGAAGGTTCTAACACCGTTATCAAATCAGTGATCATTTGTAATAAAGAAGTTGTCCATCAATATGTTACTACCCCTCCTTGTTGCTCCCACTTCTAAATCCCTCAGTGGTGACATCTCTTGTTACATGCAAACTCTGTTTCAATACAGCTTTGAAATACATCTATCCCTAAAGATAATAAAAAGATCAAACAAATTCAATTGTTATCTAATATACTAGTCAAACAGCATCTTATTTCTTATATCATGGTTGATTTGTCAGGTTAAATACACTTGAACTGAAAGATTTGGGGAGGTGTAATCTCCTATATTTTAGGATTTTGAAGAATGATGATAATTGTTATGGATATACAACTTCTTTTATTTTGAGAAAGGCAACGTTTCGACATAGATTCTTATGTCGTTGTCAACGACATTAGAATATATGTGGAAACGTCGCCTTTCACACAATAAAGGAAGTTGTATATCCATAAATATTGTCATCATTCTTCATCAACTCAACTTCTTCAATGCCCATGAAAGAAGTTTGAGGATGTTATCGAAAAGTATAGAGCAAGCAACAAATACCCATATAATAAAGGCGACCCTTGCATTCGAAACCAAGGATGCCTGTATACTTAATGGACATAACCTAGGCACACTGGGCTGTGGCACCCTTGACTTGACGGTAAACTAGCGAGGCCACATGTTTAATTAAAAAATAATTAACTGCTGCACAAGACACATCTCAATCATCAAGATTGTACTTGATTGCTCATGGCCACAGTCTGTAAAAGGATTCCCTTTCTCCCAACGGCCAGCATGTTGAAGTGAGAGTAAGTGGTGGGCACTATCATGATGACCTTCGTCCCCAGCATATACTGAAACAAAGAAGTAGATGACTGAAAGATGTATTACGCCGCATCCGGACTGGTCAGCTGGTCACCATAAATGCCGTCCCAGGGCAGGGAAACAACAAGTATCATCTATTAACGTCTTTTGATATATGGGTCGGGGATCAAACCACTGAATTTCCGCTCTGTGGGCAGACACTGTATCCATTAGGCCATCCAGTCGTAAGGTAACTTGTTTAACATTGGACAGATGGGGGATAAGGTGTTCATGATTAATTACCTAAGTATTGGTTTAAAAGGTGATTATTTCTATCTTAGGACCTTTAATGTGCATACAAAGTCTCACGTCCTTACAAAGTCACGTCAATATACATGAATGTATGCACGTTTATATTAATGATTCCTGTGGTAAGTGATGACTGGGAAACCCCATCAATGTAATACTTCAGTCTACAACAATATATAGTTATCATATTGTGTCGAAAGTGACAGTAAACAATTGTGAACAATGAGTAGCTGTGCCAGTTAGAAAACGAGAAAGAATTTTTGTAAAAAGGAGGGATTCGGCGTTTTCGGTTTTCGTTTCTGGGTTTATTCTTTTAGTTCTGTTGTTTTGGGGGGTTGTTGTTGGGGTATTTTTTGCTGATGGAGGTACTTACAGTTATTGTTTCTGTCGATATTTTAAAGGTGAAGGTCACGACGAGATCTGACGAAGGGATGTTTACGGGGGTCGCGTCTGGGGTCAAGGCGATGTTTAAGGTGCCCGACCCCTCGGTGACGTCCAGTCTGTGGGTATCATAACCAGCGTGTTGGGGCCGGAGCTCCAGGTAGAACCTGAGGATCGTGGACAAAGACGTATTATATTAGAGGTACGCATAAGGAATAAAACAACAATATTAATACTTGCAACGTTACAAATCATCTGAGAAATATTCAAGCCCGGCACCAAACTCATTAAAATGAGAACGCAGTTCTCGCTACTTCTGCAGATGGATCTCAGGACATTAAGAAGTAGAGCTGTGACGATATATCGTAGTATCGATAATCGTGATAATTTTTCTGACAATAAATATATCGATACTTTTTTCCGTATCGTGATATGTATCGTTGACCTAAAAATTGTGAATTTTCACTAGAAATTGACGGTTATGTCAAACTTTACACTGTTACTTGTTATCAAAATACACTTTTTTAAAGAAAATAACTAAAGACAGCATATCGTGATTCGCATCGTATCGTTCCAAGATATCGCGATACGTATCGTATCGTGACATTTCAATATCGTCACACCTCTATTAAGAAGGTCAAGTCTAGGAACTGTTTTGACCTGCCATGCCTGGGCACTGGTGTAATTTTCTGTTCAACAAAGAAAATCCAATCTGACTTTCTACTTAAATATACACTGGCAGATTTATGTGCTTCGTAGACAGATAAATACACATGTCGTGTGATATATTATCTAAAGCTGTGGAACAAAGACGTGCCAGGATATTTAGTCTCTGAAATGATTTTTAAATAGATTTCGACTTGCAAAATAATTGTAGATTTGCTTTTGATAGTGACGTATTTGTATGAGGATCTGAGAGACAGTCATTGTGGACTTACGGGCCTCCCTTCAGTTCCAGCTGGACCTTCACCTCCACCAACCCGGGATTGGTGTACAGACACACTGGGATCTGGAACGTCATCTCCTGCAACATCACACGTCCCAATCAGGCTTGTCAATATCACACACGTCAACATCACACGTTACAATCAGGCTTGTCAATATCACACACGTCAACATCGTACATGTCACAATCAGACGCGTCAACAACACACAAGTCAGCATCACACACGTCTACATTATACACGTCATCATCGCGCATCACCATCACACACGTCAACGTCACACGCGTTTACATCACGTGTCTAGACCACACACATAAGCATCACACATGTCAAATGACCCTTTTCGTATTACTTTGGCCTAAATGGAATGCCAGGGGGTGTTATAAGATTGAAACTATTGGGTAAATAAGTAGATATTGTTTCAGGACGTCTTTAGCGTAATTCAAATGGGATATCATTTGTTTCCAGCACGGTACCCACGTAGGGATTCGAACTCGTATCTTCAGTATGACGAGCGAACACTTTAACCAATAAGCTGCCCCAGCACCCAAACCGCATGTAACTTGCAGGAACAAGAAGAATGAGGACTATTTGTATGGATATACTACTTCTTTATTCTATATGGGCGACGTTTCGACATAGATTCTAATGTCGTTGTCAAGCAAGTGGTGATATAGGCGACGTTTCGACATAGATTCTAATATCGTTGTCAAGCAAATGGTGATATAGGCGACATTTTGACATAGATTCTAATGTCGGTGTCAAGCAAGTGGTGATATAGGCGACGTTTCGACATAGATTCTAATATCGTTGTCAAGCAAATGGTGATATAGGCGACATTTTGACATAGATTCTAATGTCGGTGTCAAGCAAGTGGTGATATAGGCGACGTTTCGACATAGATTCTAATGTAGTTGTCAAGCAAGTGGTGATATAGGCGACGTTTCGACATAGATTCTAATGTAGTTGTCAAGCAAGTGGTGATATAGGCGACGTTTCGACATAGATTCTAATGTCGTTGTCAAGCAAGGGAAGAGGGAAAATGGCGTGTTGCAGGGAACATATTTTAGTTATAAGAGAACACTGCAACAGAACTGCCATCACGACAACCCTGTACTACCTTAATACTCGTTAAAGGTTTGCGACTGCATGAAAAGAGAAATGGTGTTCACCCTTTTCGTTAACACCTGGTGTCATCAAGGATGTTCAGTGATCAATTCATAATAATCATCATTACATAATCTATTACACCGCATGGAATTTGTTCAGCAGTTAATTCAGTCTGGTTAAATCTCACGCTGACGTTTGGTTCCCCGACGATCAAGAGAATAATCTTACTTCCTCGGTGAGGACCTTGTTGACCAGCCATCTGGTCTGGACGCATGACCCCTGTCCACCCCTCCAGCTGCCGTCGCTTGAGCACGTGATGGTGTCGGTGTCGCCACAGAAGGTGAAGTCTGGGACACACTCGTACGTTGCCGTACCTCCCAGGGTGCGGTCCTCTGCTACCACGGTACTGTGAACCTTCAGCTGTGGGGGAGGGCAGGTTGGCATCCCGGTCACTGGGACATAAGGTGGGAGTCAGGCTAGGGGAGGGTTGACAATCATTCAAACCATTTTGACAAAAACAACTTCAGGACGTATCAAAATCTGGATATCTACACAAAAGATTCCTTTCCGAAAGTCCTCTTCTCTGCTTGGAGGTATATATTATTTTGGTTTCGCTATACAATTTCAACAAACATATCAAAGTTGATATTGTATAAAAATATCTATTCAGTCTCTGGATAATTTCTGGATAATGCCTACGTTGAGCAGTACAAAAAATTTAGAAATCAATACCAGTGTTGGCCCACATGAGCTTTCTGGATATAATTCTGAATATCAAACCATACGAAATATTAGAATATCACTAACAATCTTGTGCCATACACAATATCTAGATATCAATACCGATGCTAAGACCTGCGACATATGAGAATATCTATACCACTTGTAAGACATGTTATATGTCTAAATGTTTTTACCAAGTTTGAGCCACATAACAAATCATTCCACTGTTGAGCCGAGTGACCTACCTGTTGGTGCCAGCTCCGCCCTCTTCATCATCTCGAAACCATCAACATCCACCTTCTGCACCTTCTTCCAGGCTGTGTCGGTGTGGTTGAACGTCCCGGCTAGCTGCCCATCCACGTACACCTAGAAATACACGGACCGGTCAGTGAGAGATCTCAGTGAGATATCTGTGAGAGATCGGAAAGACATAGATGAGTAAGATACCAACCTCGTAGATCTAGAAACACACAGATCAGTCAGCCTTTGGCCTCCATACTGATTCGGCGATGCATGTAGTAAAAGTAAATGTGTCTAGGACTTCAGTCCTGCCCCACAACGAAGCACGTGTGATCCATGTGGTCTCACCTTAGGCTAGTGAGTTTGTTCAGAGTTGCCTCTGTTAACCCAGCAGAAAATGGGTATCAGGCGGGATAAGTCATGTGACTATAACCTTCTAGTGCCTAACAGACAGCTTGGGTTATCTAGGGTAATAATGTGCTGTGATTTGATTGTTAGCGCTATGAACATACCTGGTGTGGAGTTTGGCGTTATATAAATGGATGCATTATTAATAAAACGCTATATATTGTCAACGAAAAGGTTGATCACAACGCCTTTCGTCCACACCAACGTCAAAAGAGTTGTTCCTGGAATATTGTTACAAGCGGTCGAAAACAGCTTAACAACTATCTGAAGATGGTCATATCGAGGTTTGACACTGTTGTATCACCTTGTAGCCTGTGTAGGAGTTATAGATGACGACGTGTCTCTCCTCTCCCGTCGTGAATGACACGCCAGGGACGTTAGCAGCGTCCATCTCCACCCCGCCCTTCACCCTATGTAAGTCAAACCCTCCTTGAAATATCGTCATCACAAGATTCATGTCCCCTGCCAGATCACTCAGTTTAATCGTAATTCTGAAAACAGAAAGGAATTCATTGTTAGATATTACCCCTACAGATTGAAACCAAGAGTTAGATGTTTGGTTTGTTGTTTAAAGCCGCACTCAGCAATATTCCAGCAAATATTGCAGTGGTCTGTAAATAATCTAGCCTGGACCAGACAATCTAGTGATCAACATCATGAGCACCGATCTACGCAATTGGGATACGATGACATGTGTCAACCAGGGCCTCCTTTCACCAAGCAATAAGTTGATCGTAAGTCACTAAGGTAACCTTAGTGCAATGTTAAAGAATGGGAGTTAAGGTTAACCTTAGTAAAAGGAGACCCAGGTCAGTGAGTCTCACCATCTGATCCCGTTAGTCGCCTCTTGCGACAGGCATGGGTTGCTGAAGATCAATTCTAACCCGGATCTTCACGGGTCAAGTCCACAAATGACCACTATATGAGTAAATCATTTATGTATAACAACTAAATTGCTTGTAAGACGTTTCATCATTCTGTGTGCAAACATGTAAACACATAACATGTGTATGATCTGACGGGATAAACAAAATGTACACATGAGTTTGATGGGAGTACAACGCAAGCAAACAAGAAGTGGTTATTCGTGTCGTGTTTTGGATACGGGTCTCAGTATTGAAACTTGAACCTTGGTAGGATGTAAGCAGTCCTTTATCGTTATTATCGTTTGCTTTTTGTATGTTTTTACTTTCTTTTGTATTTTTTCTTTCTTTTTTTTCAAATTTGTTTGTTCGTTAGTTTATTTTTGTTTTCAATCTAATCCTAACGCAAATGTGTACATTTCACCTGAAGACAGGGAAGTGGCAAGAGAAGCCTTGATTAGACGTTACAAGCAGTACAGAAGTTGTTATCCAGACAATGATACACGCCACCTACTTTTGAGATCCTTTCATTAAATGGAGCGACACTGCCGACGTCTCTTGAAACCTGCACTTCAACTTCAACATGGATGATCGACCGACGGGTGGCTGAAGACGTCAACAGAGAAATGTCATGTCTGACACACGCAAGTTAACTTATATCAGCTTACATTTGTTCATGGATGTGTGAAGACAGGAAGTGAACGAGAATGATTTAGCAATATTCCAGCAATGGGCTTCACACATTGTATACATTGTCCAGAAGGAATACTGGAAGAATACGGACCTCCCGTCGAATGAACGTGTAGCACGTGGTCCCGCGTTCAGCGTTCATGCCACAGGTGAAGTTAAGGAGCATTGATTGCTGACAGCAGCTGAACGGGAGATCGTTTTTTGACAAAATTGACGCCTTACAGTTTTAAGGGAGTACGTCCTTCCCCACAATATTACATGAGGTGTCCCCACAGGCAAGTGACCTGCTGGACATACGCCTATATCGACCCACCAGTGAACCCAGTACTGGGCACCCGGTAGGATCATTTAGTGACGATGTTGTTAACCTTCAAGCGCCAAACGTAAGTAAGTTATGATATAAGGGAGAAGGGAATGAAATTCAAGTGCACTCTGTCGGGCAAAAGTGTGTGCTTTGAGCACATTAGAATTGGGAAAGAACATACAATTAACATTTTTTTCAAACGAATGGTGTAACTTACTTGTGTAAAACTTTCCATTTTTATCACTCGATAATAGTCTTTAAAATTTGATGAATTTATTATTTAGATATAGTTGCTTGGCTTCGGAAACAGTTTTTCGTGATCAAGGTGACGTGGGCTTTTTACGATTGTGCACAATTAAGATTACCCTTTAGTACATAGGCTCGGGGAAATTCAGATAAGATACCTTTATGTGTTTCATAATAAATATTTCTCATTATTTCAAGTCAAAATGAAAATCCAGGGCGGGTGGGTGATAGGAAATCGGACATCTGTATTAGATACCCCATCATCCACAGTGACTATGACATCAGTGGCGTCTCCCTGTGTTTCTACCCAGAAGCATGCATTGCAAAACTAACTGACAGTATCAATTCCTGGAATAATCTCTTTACAAATCAGCACCCACCTTCTGAATATTATTATATATGGATTTCACGCATGTTCCCATAAGCCCCTTCCACAGATTGTCTTTGGCACATGTCATCTTATCCGAGGTTCCGCAAAAGGCGAAGTCCTCCGAACACCGGTATTGTACCTCGGCAGTTTCCGGCAGGAGAAGGGGAATACTGTTAGTCATTGCACGTGGCGAACCACACCGCTCGATGTCGGGCTGAGCTGGAGCAGAAAGTAACAGTTGAACTTTCAACTCTGGGTGTATTGGTCATTAGTCACGCCGCGGTCAACAGTATTGCAGTTTCGGGTGAGTGAGTGATTTGGGTTTGACGCTGTTTTGAGCGATGTCTTATTTTATTGCTTCCTGTCAGCTCTACGACTAAAGCCGGAAGTGACGCAGGTTTCAGACATTAAAATACATGAGCACGACGATGGCGCCTACAAACCTTAAAACAGGACGAAGCGGGATTCCAACCCTTGATTACAATTTTCTGATATGTCCATAGGACCGCAGTTGTATCATCCATTAAAACATCAAAGACTCCTTGTGAACCAGCCACATCACGAAGGCTAATCACACGTTCCAACATTTATTGCTTTACTAACAAGCACAATTTCCAAACAATTTTCCTTACTGAGAAAAGAATGAGGAACGTTGAACCTATAATTCCCCTTATATTAATGAGTTTTGACAGCTGAAGTACACATAAATTGACATTGACGTGAGTGCAGTATTGATTAACGACCCAATCATCACAAAATTTCATAAGATTATTTTCCAAAATAATAGTCATCCCTTTTTTGTTCCGGATATATCTGGTGAATAATATATTGCGTTTTTAAATATTTGAACATATTAATACTTACATATACTCCATCGTGCCTTGCCCTTGTTTGACATAACGGTAACTTTCTGTAATACGCCTTCACCCAAATCTGTTGATGGTCGGTAACCAGCACCATTGAATATGAGGTCGGCCTCGGGACTGTCCACAAAACCAGTTCCAACATTGAATTTCACAGGGTTCGTGCTGTACATGGAAACCCAGAATTGTCTAGACTCTCCACACGCTAGAGGACTGTGCCTCTTGGTCATCACTGAACATGTGCTGCAAGCCGTGACTGTGGACACGGTGTTACCGTTGCTGCCGATGTTGATGGTGATGGTGTCGACATCCGACGACGAAAGACTTAATGTGACGGTGATGTCTTCACATGCCTCGACTCCGAAGGTGAAAAAGTTGCCGTCGATCATGTAGCCTCTTGTTGAGAGGTCTACGGCGGAACTGCCATCAGTTTCCAACTGTAGAATATCTGGTTTAACAATAAATGATGTTGGTATTGACAAAGCATCAGAATAAAGTGGGCCAAAGAATTACCTCCCTTTATAGCAGCTTAAAAGCTAAGGGAAGGGAGAATAATTTTAAACAATATTCCAGCCTTATGCCAGCATTCTAGACCAACCAGTGATTGATATTATGACGCCCACACTGTGGAGTTACGATGTCACACAATGAGCCAAGACTGGTAGAGATATGTAGTTCTGAACTGAAAGAGACGTAGCTTTTTGATGATGAATAAGATAATCGCCCAAAATAACCTGCCATTCCCTTTATTAGATAACACCCTAAAGGACTCACTTTCTTTAATTACATTTTCCCACGGTGCAGAGAAAAATCCTAATTTTCAAGATTATTTAATGACTGAATTGTTACTGTTGTTTGTTTGTAGAGTACCCACATGTATCAGATACCTTGGTCCAGGTATTGTACTCCGATTGTATGCTCATTGTACCCTGGATCCATTCACTACTAGAGCTGATTTTGCGTCCAATTCTACGTACCACATATCGGTTACAGCTGGAGAAATTCTGAAGAAACCCTAATTAAGTTCGTGACTTCCGGGACGGCGCTTTTGTAGCGAATGAGTCAAGGGTGTTATCAATAGAGTGGACATACAATACACTGGATTGTTCAACATTCTAGGATGATAAGCGACAACCTACTTGAGTGTGTTATGTCCAGTCTGCTGCCCATCTGCAAACCTTGGTCCAGCACGATACGGTCAGCTGTGGTTGGTGGTTCAGCATAGGGGACGGGTGCTATGTGGACGTCGTTAATATATACCTGGAAAGAAGTTCGAATTATTGTATTCTGCAGCACATGAAATAGGTTCCATTGTAATTATATGAACCAAATGCTCTTTCACGTTACCAAGTGCAAACGTACATAAAAATCCTTCTTCAAAACATCTATTAAAGGTTTTCAAGTTTTATGATGAAGTTGATTTTTTACTTTATTTTCTTAATATTTTTCGAAAACACAGAATGCTTCCAGCCTACTTTCGTGAAATATAATAAAAATAAAATAAAACAGCAAGCTGACAGGCGGTGATAAAACAGCATTAGTGTTAGGAGCTAGATAATTTCGATAGCATAGCCTGTAATCGTATACAGCTATATACTAGTAATTGACAAATATGTACTCACAAAATATTCATTCATTCCTAGGCGCACGTTCAGGTCAAGGCCATCTCCAGGATACAGGTCAATGTCCTTTGACCCCTCTATAACAGTATTTGACGCTACCGTGCGACTGACCTCCACACGGCAAGGTGGCGTTGAATCCACGAAGGTGAAGGTTACTTCTAGAAGTGGACTATTTCCCTTCATGAGGTTAAAGCTTCTGAAATGCAATGTTTGGTAAATTGAACCTTGTTATCATTAATTGATATGTATTCCCAAATGGAGCCCATACTGCACGCTATTAGCTAGTCATTTTGCTTTGCCTTAAATGCCATTAGATACCATCACGGAGTAGAGAAATACCAGCAGATTTCCAAACTGCGAGACGTATTTGTGCGCTCGGTGTAGTTCACCTTTTACTCAGCTACCAATTGAGGATGGAAATTATACTTCCACTTGAGGGCTGAACTTAGTGGACAAGCATTAGATCCTCGAAGGCCTTCGGACTTATTTACTGCCTTTGAAAACCTTTCCTCAAAGTGTTGTTTTTTTTTCTCGATTTTAATTGTTGAGTTTCATATTCCGAAAACAATTTATTACGAAACAAGTTACGTCAACCAATGCAACCTCTTGTCAGTCCATTGTGATAGACCACGAAGACTGACAGCAGAACATAAGTCATAACATAACGTATCACATAATAGCGACAACCATTATATTCGGATTTTTGAGTGCTGAGAAATCTGAAAGCACATCGTATCTCCTTATTATAACGAGGACTGTGATAGTTGGAGTGGTGAGGACGTACGTGGAGTTAAAGCTGCTGAGGATGCCCATCACCTGGATCCGAGTCCAGGGCTTCAGGGGACACCCGATCTGGATGTCGGAGACCGTCAGCTGGAACGAACATGTTATACAGACTTAATCACTTCAACAACCAATCAAGGTATTACATTGCTCCGATACAAAAATATCATTTATCATGAGTGACTGAGTACGGTTTTGGAATATTCAATAATTTTATTCGCCATAAATTGTATTCAGGGAGCGTACTGCAATGAGATATTGAACCCACCTGTGTGACCAGTGAACGCTCTCACAGCTAGGATACCTAATACTAGCTCCCGAATGTGATGTATTAAAACCAGTCCAACATGATGGTTCAAGTTAGTTCTCTTAGAATCATCTATGAAGAAAAGACATATTGGACACCCAATCGCAACAACCAGCAAACTAAGGAAGCAGTTTATAAATTCGACGTCATGTAAAGCCTTCATATATATTCCTTACGTTTGGGGGTGGTGGGTTAGGCTAGTGGTTAAAACGTTCGCTCGTCACGCCGAAGATCCGGGTTCGATTCCCCACATGGGTACAATGTGTTAAGCCCATTTCTGGTGTCCCCCGCCGTGATGTTGCTGGAATATTGCTAAAAAGCGGCGTAATTCTAATCTCACTCACTCACCCCTTACGTTTGAGTGAGAGTTAGACTGACTCCTGTCACTAAACAAATCAAACTTTCAGAGTAAGAAGTAAATACACAACAGGTGTAACAAAGTGCTTACCGGCGGGCCCCACACGTTCTGTACACACCGGCCAGGTGGTTGTTGCCACCTGTCCCCTTCACACGTTCCCATGGCAGCAACTCCACATATCGCGTGGCCAGTCGGGCATGTGTATGAAGCTCTGGTAATTCCCGCGGAATAGGAAAGGGAGACAATTCTGTTTGACTGGTCGTTCGGAGGAGGAAAACAGTATTTGTTTGCTGCAAAACGAGTTCAATCTTTGAGTAAGGTAAAGTTGGGAGAGAAAATGAAGCTGAGTAGTATATAGAGATGACAAGAGGTGTGAAGCGTATATAATTCATCATTTCAGCATTAGTAAGCGAGCTTGGGTGAACGCCGCTCTGAAAGTAGTCCAATTATATCACAGCACCATGTGGGAGGTAAATGTGAAGTGGAGCATATCGTTGACGCTTACCACTTTGAAATAATGCACGAGCATGGAAATGTTGCTGACAAACTAAGAACCATAATCGGGGCGAATCTGATAAGAATCATTATTAAGTCTCTGGTGCGGCAAAGGGACACAACTCTGCCAAGCCAATTTCGTTTCAGTATTTTAAACGTTGGCTTCACTTTGAAGAAATATTTGTTCCCACGAACATTTTCCGGTAGTCATATTATATCTGTCTGATTTTAGGCAAGTTGATGTTATTCGACTCTTGGTGTCCTTAGTTGATTGTCAAAATGTGACGGTGTGTATTTTCTAATTTCTTTTGTATTAGATTTTTTTGTCGGTTCTACATCCTGAACACTGAGCATGGAACAACGGTATGGAATTACCAGATTTTGTAGGCAATACATTTTCTCAAAAATATATTTTCCTGCTATATTTACGCAGATGTGCTTTACCGCATTTCCATGGAATCGATTACTTCATTTACTGATAACTGAAGTCATTTACCTGACTCAATTCTCCGTTGAAATTCTTCCAGGGCTGCTATCCTGTTGTCTCTTATACAGTCATTGTCAGTACATGTCGTCGGTGTAGTTGTTGGAGATGGAGTAGTTGTAGTTGTATCTGTTGCTGTACTAGTAGATACAGTAGTTGTTGTCGTAGTAGATGGAGGAGGTGTGGTGGTTGTGGTGGTGGTTGTTGTTTGCGTGGTAACAGTCGTCGTAGGAGTTGTTGTTGTCGAAGCTGTAAGACTTTTAGTCGTTGCAGTTGTACTGGTTGTTGTGGTCTCCCCAGACGTTGTAGGTATAGTCGTTGTAGTTGTCACAGGTACTGTAAAAAGTGCGCGGAAACAATACACTGTATGGAATCGACGGGTGATGAATTACAGGTCTTTGAATACTTAAAAACATTTGGAATTTTGATAAAATTAATAATTAATGGTGTATGGTGCCGGTATCATCCCAGGTTCCGCATTTACATAGCGTCCGCAGCGCTACGAGTTTTGTGAGCCGTCTTTCGAGAACTTATAACATAGTTACCAAGTGCCCATGATCTCGCATTTCTTCCAAAGGGCTACAATGGTATATTTTTATTTTTATTTCTTTTTTTATTATTATTTTACAAGCTTTTATCGAACCTCCTTACATGAATATTCTCAAACATCTGACACTGCAGTAAACAAGAAGATTATAGGACGCTTCATGTGATTTGATTTCAATTGGCGAGGTTGTATTCAGATGTAATAATCATCCCCATTACCAACTCCTTGCTCACCGAAATCTTACAAGTGAAATAACGTGGACCCGTCTACATGCTAGTTAAACTATTGGACTGGTTCTACTTACCGATACTTGGGTCCACGCACCTCCCCCGGTCCGCCCAGAAGACGTAGTTTCCGGCACAGTCGTCGATACTGATGGTCCTCTCGTCCTTACATTCGATGTACATGCTGCTGTCGCCCGGGAAGGCTATTTTACCGTCCATGGCTCCGACACACGTGGCTTCACATGGAATACAGGTGCCCGTGGCGCACTGACCCACAGTGTAGTCACCTGAAGTTAGACAGGTGATCAGAGGGGTCGTGGTGTGTGTCAATATCGTTGTTGATAACAAGCACACAAACAGCTGGACTAATTAACGCATGCTATGTCAGTAAAGAGCAGATTCTATAACTATTTGGGCTGAGCCCCATCCTGGCTTCGAACCCAAATTCTCAGTCAGGCTGCTAATCGCCATCACACAACTCATCTAATCCACTCAACCACCCAGGCTTCCACAACTGGTAGTCTAGATCGCGAAGTGTGTGTACCCCTCTGTAAATGACAGTGTGTGTTCACAGCTTTTGTCGTTGAGATCTGTACCAATTTATACTTTGTCAGTAGGGTACACAAAGTACGTGTTCTAGTCTGTGAAACGCCCTTTTGCTTGGAAAGTGGCTGACTTTGTGGTAATTAGGGGCCGGACTCTGAGAGTCCTGGATGGGACTGAGAAAGTATTACTGAGAAAGTGTAACGCCAGATCTGACATGCGTTACATTTGACCACTTTCTGAATGACTTTACATTTGACCACTTTCTGAATGACATGCGTTACATTTGACCACTTTCTGAATGACATACGTTACATCTGACCACTTTCTGAATGACATGCGTTACATTTGACCACTTTCTGAATGACACGCGTTACATTTGACCACTTTCTGAATGACATTGTGTATTCACATGGTATTTGTCTTCTACTGATCAATATGAGAATAATGACTCACATGGCGCCCGGGGCTCGAACCTGCTGTCACAGTTGACAGTAGTGTACTGACTGCAGGTAAACGTGCCGGAGTCCCACAGCTGGAAGTAGGGACACTCCCTCTGGTAGGGGTCGAGGGCGGGGTCCCAGGATGGCCTGCTGCAGTCGTAGTACTTGGAGCAGCTCGTGGACGCCGGGAACTTCAGGCCTGGGAGACGCTCACATATCTTGATGATCGATGCTGTAGAACAGTAGAAACGGTAGTTGTAATTATCGTTGATGGCAGCAGTCGCCGTCGTTCCAGTCATAGACGTGGTCAAAAGTAGTTGTTGTGGTTGTGGTATTAGAAATAGTAGTAAGTAGTAGTTATAGTGAGTTGTGGAATCATTTTAGGTGGATGGAGTGTTATTTTTGTTTTGTTTGTTTGTTTCCAGCTGTATGGCGTCGGTCTGTAAATAATCGACTCTGAACCAGACAATCCAGTGATCGACAGCATGAGCATTGGTATGGGGTGTTAAGAGTAACTGTGAATAGCTGCACTCGGTAATGGAGTCGTAGTCAGTGCGGTCACATATGTAGTCAGTAGCAGTAGTCGTTGTAGTCGTATCAATAGCAGCAGTATTGTGGTTGTTGTGGAGCGTTGAAACAAGCAGTTGTAAAGGATGGCCGTGGTGGAAGTATTAACTGTCAAGATACTAGTAGTAGCAGCAGCAGCAGTAGTAGTAGTTGTAGAAGTAGTAGTGTTTGGTGGTAGTAGAAGTAGTTCGATTCGAATACGTCGAAGTAGCAGCCTTCGCGATGGTAGTAGTACTCCACAATCCCAGGCAACTTATTGCAAGGTGCATTAGTATTACTTTAAATATGACCATTTACAAGTAAATGTATCAACGTTACCTTTGACATCCTCTGAGCACTGAAGAATTACAGGGTCAAACACCATTTCCCCCGTACACGTTGATCTGGACACCACGAGCTGAGAGGCGCACTCTAGGTAGTCAGGAAGGAAGAGTCTGCCAACCACTGGGTTCTTGCCGTCGGGAAGACCCTTGCACGCCTCGTCCAGACACTCAAGCTGGTAGGAACCTGGGTGTACAAAACAGTGGGGACTTACACCAACTATTGTTGGAATTTTAACTTATCTCTAAAATAAAACACTGGATGACGTGCATCGTTTTGGGTCTAAACGGAATCAACGACGCATTACCAAGAGGAATCTTTTACACATTCTTGTCTCACTTATGAACAAATGTAAGGAGTAGTCTTGCACCTGGAAATATACTGGTCATAAGTTCACTCCGTAAAAGACCGACAAGAATATTTAGACGGATGCTGCTGATCAAATCCCCCTATGTTTAACAATGTAAGTAGTCTCTTTCCCTAAATGTGAGAGCATTTTCCTCTTCACACAATTGAGTGCTAGGGACATTTATATAGACACTCGCGGGATATGCTCTGTGGTTGAGACAATTTACTGATTGTCGTATAAGCAACTGTTTACTTGCCTGCTCATAAGATAGCTTAATTCCTCCAAGAGTGCCGATCTACCTTCATAAGTTCTTCATAAGTCATACAAAACCTGATCTAGTTCTAACAAAGGTTTTGCCACAGAGTTACTTACTAGCACCCTGGACAATGTATTGCCTTTTATGAATTATAGCCTCTGTACTACTTAACTTTTGTACAGTGTCGAGTAACATATAGTTCAGGATTCTAGACCGGTATTCTAGAGTCCGGTTGGCTAGCTGCACTTGCACCTAGAGCTGAAGTAGGATACAACTTCTGGACTCGATTTACCATGTAGAGTTTGCATCAACTCTGGGGTTTTTGTTGTTGTTTTTTTTGGTTTTTTTGTTTGTTTGTTTGTTGTTGTTTTGGTTTGTTTGGGTTTGGGGGGTTTTTTTGGTTGTTGTTGTTTTGTTTTTGTTTTTTGTTATTTTTTTGGGGGTGGGTGGGGGTGTTGTTAATAACTGTATTCGTATTTTTATAACTTCTAAAGTTGTTTGGATACCACATCCAATGTCTGATTGAATTATAAAAACAATGACAGAATTATAGGACTACCACATGTACATTTTCTCCGTTCAATACCATGCAGATAAGTATGGCATACTCACATTTATCACGAGGTCTGGGACTGTCTCCGCATTTGGCATCTCCCGGCTCCTTACATATTTGTTCATATTTGTCAAACAGCAGGGGGTATTTGCACTCGTTCTCATACAGGCCCAGGCCAAACTGGGGAACCACTTGGCTGCAGTCGTAGAACATGGCACAGCTCTTGGGGTGAAGGAACTTCAGACCAGGCATTCCAGGGCAAAACATTTTAGCTCTCTCTGAAAACATTTAGGCTTCAATTCTAAAATATTTGTTTAATGTTCACGATGCCTAGATAGGAATACCGCTATTTCCAATAGTTCTTACTCCAGTTTTGAGGAAATAAAACAGAGTTAAACAAAAACATAATGGTTCTATATTAATTTCTTTACTTTCCTGATTTCTGGTTTAGTGCAAATTAGTTACATACCATAAATCACACCAAATAGTTTATCTTTATTTTTTACGGTGTGCTGACTAATAAATAATAGTGTCCGCTGTTTCTGTGATTACCTTCTGGATATCTGCAAGGTCCTGAGACAGGCGGTGACACGCAGGTCTGCTGTACCGGGTCAAACACCAAGCTGGTAGCACAGTTAGTCCATATAGCAAAATAATGGTTACACTGCACGAAGCCATTGCAGTCCCATGGGACGGCCATCAACCCAGTCTTTGGTCGTGGTTTACACATGTAGTTCAACTCCATCACGTAGCCGTTCTTCAGACCATTGATCAATTGAATGAAGAACAGCATGGGAACCATTGCAACACACCACAACTGGACAGTAGCCATCCTGCAAGACAACGTGGATATGGATAACAGCTTAGCAAATATTGTAACACAACTGTTCTTTGCTTGATTGGTGTTTAACGCCACACTCACCACTTTCCTAGCTGTATATATGACTATTTATGTAAATAGTCGAGTCTGGACTAGACAATCCAGTGATTGACATCATGAGCCTCGATCGACGCAGTTGGGAAACAACGACATGCATCAACCAAGAGGGGGCTTGACCACACGCTTCCATTAGTTGCCTCTTACGACAAGCATGGTTTGTGGAAGACAAATTCTGACCCGGATCTAGCTATGATTCACAAAGTTTCATTACAAAAAGTGGGAACGTTGGTCCAAGGGAGGACATCTTCAGTCTTCAGTTCATTGTATAAAACAGGAAAACCAAGATCCTAGATCCAGGAAGCACTCAATAGAATACAATGTTCTATATTCATTGGTGTAGTGGTTAGAGCTTCCGCCCGGAGAGCGGAAGGTCGAGGGTTCGATCCCCGACCGCGTCATACCAAAAGACGTTAAAATATGGTACTTGTTGGTCCCTGCCTGGCGCTCGGCATTAATGGGTACAACAAGGACTGGTCGGCTCGGAGTCAGAGTAATGTGTCTGAGTGGGGTATTCATGCTTAACTGCGGCATGGTATCTCAGTGGGCTAGCACTATAAAACCAGCTTAAGTCTGGGGTAGTACAAGCAGCCGCACATACACATACACACGCATGCACGTCGTCATATGAGCGAAATATTCTCAATCACGACGTTAAACCCAATTTCACCTCACCTCATTTGTACTGATGAATATATGAAAAATAATTATGAAAACAGAGTTGACAAGGGCTGTATAACATTGCAATGGCATTATCCTTAAAATTGTTCAACCTGAAAGTAAGGTTTTATGAGGTACATTTGAAATACTCGCTCCGGTTCTTGTCGCCTTTAGAAGAAAACATTGATTGTTGTTAGGGTGAAGACTATTGTGTTTCCGTAAATAATTTGTGCAAAAATATTCCTTGACAGAAACGAAAACAATGAATCTTTGTAAACGGGAAGCACGAAGAGAAACCATATACAACGAATAATGACCACGAACAGGTCGGGTTAATTTATATGAAAAAGACACTGCTTATAGCATTGTGTGTTCCAGGCCATATCATGAGCAGGTGTTTATAAATCACAATGATGACTAAAGGTGTTCGTGAAAGGTGAACCTATACCATCACGTCAATGGGACCCGTCATCACATGCAAAGGCAAGTCAATTGTACACCTTAGCAAACATGAAAATGTATGGTAAAAGTCAAAAGTGGAAGTCACAACTGGAATAATTTTGGTCACTGATCAATAACATTTGAAAGTTAACAGGTGAATATATATTATGAAGGAATAACAGTTTAAACTTATATATGAGTTTATGTTATATTTGATCCGTTAAATCCATCGATTTTATCTTGGCATATGAATAAATATTTCTTTTGATATTCATGATTTTGAAACATATCGTGCCATTTGAAAATGAAAGCGACATAATTAAAATAACTTGATCTGTTCTTCCGTCAAATTCGAATTAATTTATTTCGCACATTCTGCTGACATTATGTTGTCATGGAAACATAAAACATTCATTGACTGAGTATATAGCGTGGTTTGGAGTCGATCACTTTAGTGGGAGGTTTCAAATGTATTTATATGAGGTATGTAATCTACATTGGAACTACATCGATTGTTTTTAAAAATGTACGTTTATCTCCATCATGTCAAGGCGACAAATGTGTTTTCAAACGTGATCTCTGTAAACGCGTAGTTACGTACTTATCGGCAAATACTTCTGTTAACTCAGAACATGATGTGTTCGCAATAGTATTAAACATTTTCAACATGAAATGAACTTTTGTCCCACTGGATTCGATCCAGGGTACGATGTGCGAGTGGTGCTCCTTCCATGAACATTCTCCTAGAGTGTGTATGTGTGTGGGTTGTTCTCATTCACAGGTTATCCGTTAACTTTTAAATACAAGCGACATTGTAAATAACACCACAATTTCCACTAAATTATTTGAATGTATGTGGTTTTGATATCACTAATAAAGAGGTGTTTTCCCGTCCATCCTGTCCCACAGGCGGCACCCGACATCATGTACGGCACAAAAACATACATTTGAAAATGTCCTCCTTATGTCTATATTATAAAACTTTTGAACGCTAAGCTGATTTCTTTAATGTTATAACCTTGATCAAAAGACTCGATCAAGAGTCGAGCACTTTAAAAGCTGGATAGAAAGACTTATCATCAGATTTAAACTGACCTTATGAAGACTGTATGATTTTGGCTGTACTCAGCTTAAGGGAATGTTTCCGCTATACCATGACTGGGACACCTAGAATACTTGTGAGGACTCGAACCCGGTCGTGACGAGCCAATGCTTAAACCAAAGGCCGATAAAGACCAATTTGTACCAGCTGTACTGCTAAACCAGCCATTATAAACACAGCAGCTGGTTAAGGCGGGCAGTCTGTGGTCTTATAAATATTTCCTTGCTTTCGGCTAGGATATAAATCGTAGCGACAGCAGCTTCATACCAGGATTTACATAACACCAGAAGGGAGGGTCTTGTACCGAGCACAAGCCTCGCTTTTGTGCTTACATCAATTGACTCTTTTATAGTGATTTATACCGAACCCGAAAAAATGTCTTAATGGACGACCTGAAATAAAGTGGAGTTTGATGGACAGTTAGACAGAAAAAGTGATAGATGTACGAAATGTGGCCCTTTGTTGACATTTTAGGACAATGACATACAATCTGGAATGTGTGTCGCAAATTATTAATATTTAGTGGCTGAATAATATAAGGTGTTAACACCCTTGGTGGCAAGGAAGTGCCGTCTCTGATTGACAAGGTACTTGTGTCAGGCATGAAACCACAAACACAACGGGCTTTGAACGGTCTATTCCTGTCTGTTCATGTTTGAAAAAAGTGGCCATTTACGGATTTCAAGTTAATTGAGCTGTTTGATTATAAGATTAACAGTTATGTTGAAATGTTTTCCAATCGTCATTGATTGAGGGGCAAGGGCCCCAAGCTGGTGATAAACCAGGGTCAACTCGAACCCTCTTTGATGCATATATTTTTTGTCTGTGCCAAATTCACTCCTTTAAACTGCCCCAAACGCTTCAGTTCAGAAGAATCTGCACCAAAACGTACTGAACGAAAAAGTTAGAGCTTTATGTTATTTCACTGCCTGATTACACTTCCGTTTGCAATGGTTCTAACATAGAATGTTCAGTAATTGAAAGTTTGACTTTGCTTTTATACTCTTCATGAACATTTAACATTCAATTATTGTTATGCAAAATATCTAATGTAGAATATTCAGTAAATGCAACTTTGGGTTGGCTTTGTAAAGACTTCGGGACAATTTAACTTTCATTTTTTATTATGCAATATATGAATTGTGTCGTTTTACGTCATTAGCATAGTTGTCTATTTAGTTTTTAAAGAATAGGAAACGTGTTTAACAAGTGATATCGGGCGTTTCTCTTATTCCAGTTTCAGATATTGCTTCCTCTTACACTAATAGTTTAATTACGGTTCTTTTCAGAATGTAATACGCTGACTTAATAATGTAGAATGATTTACAAACTAAGAAATACGTTAACTACTGGAATCCAACATGTAATGCTGAACAAATGGGGTGTTAGTTCCAAGCATTAACATGTTTAAACTGGTAATTTCTTTTCTTTTAGTACCTGCAAATATTACATGTTTACACTACAAAATATATTTAATGTTCAAAATAGAATCAGTCAAACCATTTCCATTACTAGCCACCGGGAAAATGACACCTAAACCCAAATGAACTGGACCTAAAACTTCTGAACGTTATCAAAATGTTAGGCTGAAGACAATACAGACGTAAGGTTCAAAACCCAGTTATGATAATATACACAAAGAACTTAATTAAGCACCCCTGTAACTTTGCAATAACAGGTTTTCAACACGTACATAAAGCTTCTCGTGATGACCACGATGGAAAAACATGAGTTTTTCTGACCCGTATGATCCTTTGACTCAGCAAAAACGACAAAATGGCTGGAATCCATGTTGATTTTATGATGATAATTGCTCATTTAAAAAAACCCCACTGATTTCCATACAAGACCATGTATGTAGAAGTATGGCCGTGGAATGTTTATTGTTGAATGTATTGGTGAATGTGAACATTCAAAATGTCATTTTGCGTGTCTCACACGATTCAAGGCCAATACCAAGTGTAACCTCCATGCGACTGTATGACAGCCAGCACTCTCCTCCTCATACCCCATGTCAGTCTCCTGATCCTCTTACTCCATTTCTCGTGTAAAGCAGCTTCCAGTTGGGCCAGGTTCTGTACAGGAAAATCCCTTTGTTGCACACGACGACTAATCATGTCCTAGAGATGCTCCAAAGGGTTAGCGGGGCGGTTGGGTAGCCTAATGGTTTAAGCGTTGGCTCGTCACGCCAAAGACCCGGGTTCGATTCCCCACATGGGTACAATGTGTGAAGCCCATTTCTGGTGTCCGCCGCCTTGATGTTGCTGGAATATTGCTAAAAGCGGTGTAAAACCAAACTCAGTCAGTCAGTCAGTCCAAACGGTTAGCATCGGGGCTCATTCAATAATGGGATATGTCAGAGGGTGTCAGGGGGTGCTGACTAAGTTTATTGTGCATATAATGGAATTAGGGAATAGAACATTTACCCAACAAAAAAGCGTTCTCATAGACGCTACATGTCCTCCTTTGCTTTTGCTGGCCTGTGTCTTTACACATGGAAGTAAGAATTTTTACTCGGTTCAACAAAACCAAGATTTGGAACCGAGAGAATGTTTGTGTATACAGTTTACACATACAACGAGGAATTCGCCCTGGTTCTTCAGCTTCATTCAGTGTGAAGTTGCCATGATACGACAACAGTTGTTTCACTAAGCCCCATTCGTGGTGAACGTTTGCTTGATTAAGTTTAATGA